AGCAGTACAACAGATACACCTGATTTTGCTCAGAATGCAGCTCCCACAGTCTGGAACAGAGGAGGAAGGTCTTAGTAAATTATTTTGCATGGAGGATATTCCTTTACTAAAGGTCTGATCTCCATAGATAAAGGTCTGTAACTCTTAGCAAAAATAAACAGGAATAGTGAGGATATTAACTCTACTTCCCCAATGGATTAAGAATCATCTGTTAACACTCTTTCCTAGTTCATCACCCAGCAAAGGCTCTATGAGTAAGTAATGCTAATTACCTGAAATGTTATAATGTTCAGCTGTCAAGTACAGAGAGGCTGAGTTGGACAAGAAGGGTTAGAGGAGGTGGTTCTGGAAAATCCTACGACATTCATCCAAAATTGCACTTGAGCATATGAGTAGATGTATCTTCTTGTGTGCCCATAGTTGGTTAGATGAGTAATGAGCAATTCTAAAGCAGAAATTAACTATAGGAATTCTCTTAAAAATTCAAACATTAAACCTATTGTGTACATTATAAGGTAAATGACTCTTGAAACTGGATTATGATGATGTCATTATTATCTATGTTCTAAACCATATAGTTTGCACAATAAAATATGTCCATGTATGTGTGTATATGTAACCGGTATTTATAGGAATGCACAATTTAGTTGAGAAACAGAAAACAGATGAGGATTTTCCCATGAATTCTGCACACCAAAAGAACCAAGTGGCTTTAAGAAACAAGTTATTTTCATCATAGGAGAAGATGATATTCCTGTTACCTCTTTTGTCCTTCCATCCAGCTTCATCAGGAAGTATTCCCAATCTCTCTTTCACATTAACACGTATCCCAAATGAATTTACTCAGGTAAACACAATACGGTTTTCTTTTAAAATAAGCCTTTACTCAATATATCAACAAGGTACTGTATAGTGTAGAGTGAAGTTTGCAGTTAACAAAGTGTGCGACACAGTAGGTCTCAGAGGATGTGTGATGCAGAATCTTCCAGCCCCTCGCAGTCCCTTGTCAGAGAGAACACACTAAACACAAACCAGAAGCAAATCAACATATGATCCAAACAATAACAAATCATCAGGATTAACGTTCAGTGAATATTAGTCCTGTGGGCAACATAGTGCTGATGCCGCACCTTGGTTTAATTGCTAACAAATCTTATACCCATGGACACTTTTGAATACGCCCCCATGTATATTTGTGTGCACACATGTGGGTGTTTTATGCTAATTAAAATGCCTATTGCAATGGCCTTGCTTTGTGCTCTTCTAGTGGGTGTGCAGCTATGAGAACAAAGCTGTGGTAAAAGAACCAGATCTGTCTTAACAACAGTATCATACACATACAAAGCTTTCCCTCCACAAGCAGTGAAAAGCATTCCCATTGCCAGCAATTGTCTCTCAATCTTGCTGAAGATACTGGAGAAGGATATAAGCCACAGCTTCCTATCATCAGTTATTTTAACATAAAGAGGAATACCAGGCAAGAGTCAGAAAGACCAAGAACTGGGAACTGTGTCTTCTGTTTGTATTACTTTCCCTATGGGACACGCTTTTAGGCTTTTCTTTCCCATGCTGGAAAGGCAAGTTATCAGCAAACATGATACTCTCATGTTGTGAAATAAAATGTAATGTCTTCTTGCTATAGGTTAGATGGAAATGCTATAAACCAAGACATCAAAGATAATTATCCACTTCACTGTCAGAGCTGCTCCAGACACTGCAGCTGAGGTCTCCTGGTCAGCACAGCACCTGCTCCCTGCAGAGGACAAAGGTGCCTTGTGTTGTGAAGGGAGGCTTTGCTCCCAACCTGAGGGGCCTGTCTTCCCCAGGGAAGAAGGAAGTTCTGACTTATGCTAAATGACAAGACCATTATGATCCACATTAATAGGACATGGAACTGTAATCTCAGCTACTTCATTACAACTTTTTACCAGACTGGTCACATCACACTGTTTGTAACCTCAGGGGGGGAAATGTCTAAGATAGTTTCGATTAACATCTGGATAATTGGAAATTGCATTATTTCTCACAAGGGAGACTGGTCCCCACTTTGTGCACAGAGAACACAGCCAGAGGAGCCCCGTCCTATCTCAGTCTGTCACTTTCTCAGGCAACGTGCTGGCAATGGTGATTCCATGACCACACACAGATAAGAGGGCATCCGTGGTTATCCTGGATATGAGTAACTCTCTATAATAGCTGTGTGACCATCGGTATGCCTTTTGCTTTTGGAATGTCATCTGTACAGAAATAAGAGTCAAGAATATCTCAGTTGGTCAGGTAAGAGCAACTCTTTTCTAGGCCAACTTCATCTAATGACCTTGGCCTATAATTTCTACTTTGACTCTTGACTTAATCACAGCAGAACACATAATGATGACAGCAAGAGAGGCCCAAATAGAGCAGATGTACCTGCAGAACACATTCTTGTGATTTAAAATACCAGTCAAGGTGTAATCCATGAGGGAGGGTGTTCAGCCATGTTGATGAGACACATTAGATATTACAGATATTATGACAGGCTCTCTAACCAGGTGCAGGTGAAAGCCCCAGGTGTGTTAGTACAAGCAGGGCTCTGATTTTAATGGTAGCAATCTTGGCCATGATGCATGTACGATCAGACTAAAGGCTGTAATTGCATTTCATATTATGAGGGACACCAGCTAGGAGAGACTCTAGCCAATCATTCTCACCATTTCACATAACTGAGTCTCCATGGTACCACTTGAAACCCAAATAATTCTGCAAATCTGATAAAATATTATAGGAAACTCTGTGTTCTTATTTTTCCTGGCTCAAAGCAAAGCAGTTTCAACAGCTGAAAATCCCACCAGGAGTTAAACATACAATACAAATACATGAAAATTATTATTTTGTGGCTAACAGATATGAAAACTCTTGAAAGTAAAAAAAAAAAAAAAAAAAATACATTCTGAACACAGTTGTATCTACACAGTCAAGGAGATGAAAACAGTGGAAGTGAACTACCAGCTGTGCACACAAAGCCCCATTTCGTTGTTCTGATTTGCGATGGCTGACCGCTACACTGATCATCTTTACAGATTGTCTTATTCCTTTCCTGTGTGGACCTAGCTTTAAAACAACAGCCAAAAACCTCTAGCTAATAGCCTAAAGTGAAAACCAGAGTCGCTTCAGAATTCATTTAAATTAGTTCACAGCTAAGTTCAGCTCTACTGACTGCACTTTCAATTCTTGTGTCTACAAATTATAGCTTCAGTTATATTTTCTGCTTACTCTGAAGGATGAAGGAGATTAAAACATATAAGTTGGGGTATATTAATAAAGAAAATAAAGCTCTTACTATAAAGAAAAACTTGCATAGCATTTCATACCTAAACTTTTACAAAGAAGACATATCACAGTTTTATTTTGCTGAAAAAGAGGAAGCAAGACAATGGTAATACCTACTCCATGAGTCCCTAGTGTAATGGCCAGTTATGAATAAAACATGGAACAGAGAGTAAAAATTTCAATGTAACTTTAAAATGAATTTTTCAAGGGTGTATTTAAAAAAATAATGTATGTGATCTATAGCCCTTCTACATCTAAGGGATGCCAAGGATTAGCGTAAATTGTATATGCTTTTTGAAGATGGATATTACTTCAAAAATACCTAGTATTATGCACAACATCCCTCACTTTCCTGTCTTCTGTAATTAGTCCTGCTCTGTAAAAATTAGGGAAAGCCTTAATCCTCTGACTGGCTCATTTTTTTCTCCATCGTTCTGCTAATAAAAGATTAATTAAGCCCAAATCAGAGTGACATCCACAACTGAAAAAGAACAAATGAGTTCCATCATGGACTAAAGTCAAAGTCAATCTAAGGTGAAGATCTGGTATTGCTTTTAAAAATACGCATTCTCTTAGCTATCTGTGATGTGTCCATAACAGCAGTGAAAATTAGTATGCGTTTTAAAATGTCAGAATATATATGACTCTTTTGTGCAACCCAAACTGGTATCCATAATTTTTTTTTTGAAATATTGAGCAGAGGAGGAAAAAATAATTGTGGCATAAACAACTTAATTACAAAAATATATGCATGATGATTGGAAGACAAGAATTTGGGAAGGGGTACAGGTATTATTAATTCAAGCTATTTCAACATGATAGTAGTGAAGTCAGTTGATACAGTATAACAGAACCATTCATCAGTCATTTTGTCTCTTGTTAATTTTTTAATAGCAAGTCATTTTAATGTGTTTCAAACATTGTGTCTTTTTTTGATGGTCTAAATATCATGTTGATATAGCCTCAGTGGAACTACCCAAATAATTCTTGTTATCAAAAATAATTCCATTCAATATAATTCTTCCAATTATTTTATTATCCTCTTCTAAAAAAGTATTCTAGAATATATCTCTGTTGAATGGGATTCAACCTGACATATGATTTATATAGTGACACACTCTAAGGGAGTTTTCTTGCTAGGACTGGTATACTTGTCCCTGAAGATGACTGAAATGGTATTCAGGTCTCTAGCTCTGTTATCACAGAGGGCCAGACAAGCACGAAGAGTGACTTTTAAATTCCCTATCAGAAAGCTAACCCCTGTGTTTTAAGATCTTCGCAAATCTCCTTTTGATTTCTCTGAATCTTTGAGGTTAGGTTAACTTATTTCAGGGGACCTCATCTCTTCTCTATGTTCTCTGCATTTCCTGCTCTGGATCAAATCAGGGTAACCGCCTTCCTTCTTATTTTATGTAATTTTTTCTGCTCTTCCACACCAGGAGATATAGAAACGGCATGAAAATATCTAGGCCATTTCTTGCTTTACCCACGTTTTTCTTCTTACCCTAAGGAGTCCATCTGAATCTGCCCTTCCACCTGATCCTCAGCTCTAAGAAAGGAACTTATTCTGACAGCGCCAACAGCAAAGTGGTTAATGTGCATCATAAGGAAGAATCATTCGTTCTTTTGCCTCGGCGTTGGGTTCTCATTGTACAACCCCGTACAGTACTTCAGCAACTTTTTTTTTAAGGTTTAAAAAGCAAAGAGTTACAAAACTGTTTGTAATTAACTTGAAATAGAAAAGATAGCACTTTTTAAATCCCATTATATAGTACACCGTATAAATTACAGAGTATTCAAATGCACAAACGCATTTGGGTAACATTTATCAAATGTAATCCGCGTGTCCGGATGCGCACACGCGTGCGCGCTCCCAAGAGTCTGCTCGTGCGCCCTGCCGCTGCCGGCGTCGGGCTGTTACGTGTGGCAGTGCTCCAGGTCTGGGACGCTGCTGTTGCAGTATCGCATGTTGTTGGGGATATGACAGTCTGTGTAATTAATGCCCCCGTTTGGGGTGTAAATGGGCTGCAGTCTGAAATCTCCTTTAAGGAGTTGATCATTATTTAAGGAGACAATCTGAAAACTAGTTTCTGTCATCTCCAGGATGGAGTTGTCCTTCTTGGTTCCTGCCTCACAGTAATCATCTTTCCGCCGGCCCCGATTGTATTTCCACTTCTGGGAGGTGTAACGCCCCTTTTTGTGCATGTGCCAGCAGAAGATGCTGAGCAAGACCACGAGCACGAATATCGCCGCGCCCCCAATCAAGCCCGCCAGCAGAAAGGGGGAGCCGATGCTGTGCGACGTCGTCTGCTCATGGCTAGAAGCAGTGTTGCTGCCGTTGTTCAAATAGGAGGCGTGGGTGGTGGCCTCAGAGCAGATGGTGTCTTCCATGGCACGGTAGTTAAAAGCATCCAGTGGCACTAAACAAATCCGATAGGTGGATTTGGGCTCTAAATTCACCAGGCTGAGGTGCTGCTTCTCACCACTGACAATGCGCTCCTGAACAATGCCCCCTACCAGGCTGTGGCCCATCTTGACCCACGTGAGTTTGTACGCCATCACAGTAAAGAGAGAGAGCCAGGTGACCTGAATGGAAGTGTCATTCACAAAGTGGATGGACAGTTGGATCCGTTCCGAAATGGGTGGAGTCACTCTTTCTCTCCCATCCCAATCCGGAATGGTGGGGAGTTTGGATGTGGTAGGTGCTGGAGGCGTGTAGCTTCTGCTTGGGGTTGGAAGGGAGAGTGTGGGAGACTGAGTCACGGGGGAAGCTGTACTTGGGGCCGGGGTGAAGAGAGACAGGCCTGGGGTCGTGGTGGGACAAGACAGAAGATTCATATTCAGCTCCCTAACGGCCATCCCCCTGACCTGCTCCGGACCCTGGCACATGAAACCCCGCACGTTGAGCGAGGAAGGGATGGACTTGAGCCATTCCGTGACCCACTTGATGCCGCAGTCACAAAGCCAAGGGTTATTCCGAGCAGTGAGCTGCTTCAGGTTGGAGAGATTATCGAAGACCCCTTGGGTCAGCATTCGCAGCTGGTTGTTGGATATATCCAGCCGCTCTAGCTTACGGAGGTTGGAGAAGGCCATCAGAGGGATGTGGTTTATCTGGTTATCCTGCAAATACAGCCGGATCAGATGCGTACCTGGGAGATCGGGAGGGGGGAGGGAGAGCGAGTTGCGGACTATTGAAAATTCCTTGAGCTTGGTGAGATGGCTGAAGGTTCCCTCAGCAATGCCCTTGTTGGTCAGGAGGTTCCCATCCACGATCAGACGCTCCAAGCTTGTGAGGTTCTGGAAGGCCATGTCTGATATGACAGCAATTCGGTTTTCGTCCACTCTGAGTTCCTGCAGGTCCATAGGAAGCCCGACAGGCACACTGCTCAGATGGTTTTTGGACAGAAACAACAATTTGAGGCTTATAGCTTCCCGGAAGGCCCCGTCTTCCACCCCCACTGTGGAGATGGAATTGTCATCCAGGTGCAGCTCTTCCAGCTTCAGAAGCTGAGCAAGAGCAGCTCGGGAGATGGTCTGAATGTTGTTTTCCTGCAGATGGAGGACACGGACATTCTTGGGAAGGTTCATGGGAAATTCATCCAGCTGGTTGCCGTAAAGGTAGACCGTGTGCACAGACTGGATGCTGTGAAGCTCTGCAGGAAACCCAGCATTATTAATTTGGTTGTTGTGGAGGTAGAGTACGGTTACGCCCTCCGGGATCCCAAGAGGCACTGAGGTCAAGCTTCGCTCGTTACAGTAGACAAAGTTCCTGTCACAGCGGCACACGCTAGGGCAGGCCAGGAGTTTTGACACTTGTGAATAGAGCCCCAGGGAAATTAGAAGCCAAGATTTCAGGAAAAAAGCCCTATGGCCGGGCCACTTCGTGGTCTGTAGGCCCATTTCTGAAATACAGAAATGAAATACAATGTGGCGGGAAGAAGAAAACAAATAAAAACCAGGCAGTAAAATCAGAATGGGCAGGGTTCTGCCAAAAGTCCAGAACTCCAGCGAGGGAGGGTGTCCTGAGGGCAGATGTTAAAATAATCTTCCTGATGACTCTGGTCTCATCAGCCTGTGTTGCCCTCTTTGTTGGTGTGCTCCATGTGCAAAAAATTTCAACAGGGAAAATTTTCCACACAGACAGCAGGTGACAGCCAGCTATCAGCGATGACAACACTCGCCCAAGCAAGTGGACAGAACTCCCGTCTTCTGTCAGGGGTCAGACGAGGGGTTTCTTGGGTAAGCGCAGGCTGCAATCTGTTGTAGGAAAGAAGAGAGAGAGACAGTATATTAAGGGCAGTCACAGAAGAATTACTGACACAAAAATAAGCCTCTGCAAAGCAATGCGAATGAGACTAAGTATAGGGAGATGGGTTAGCGTCAAGTGGTAGTTTAAATAACAGTAATTTAGTTGAAAATGTATTCAAGAGATAAATGCTTAAACTATCATCAGAAGAAAATGGTATTTTCTGTGCACATTGTCAATAATCATATTGTGCATTTTACATCATAATCAGTACTTTCTCTTAATAGCTAATTGCATATCCAAACGGAGAAGTACAACAGACACACTGTTGAATCTACTGAAGAGTGAATGATGATCCCTTGGAAAATCCAAATGGTCACAATGTTGCTCAAGATGAAGTTGGAGACTGAGCAACTAGCAAAATTTAAGGGAAAAATGTGAAGCCCATTTATAGAATTCTACACCTTCAAGTTGTACCTGGGAACCAATTCACTTTTGAAATGCATCCCTGTTAAGAAATTTTTCAAAGGCAGTACATTTCCAAAAGCATTTATTATATACGATTCTTCAGATGCAGTGAGGTAAGAAAACTGTAGCTTTCTAAGTTTCTGACTCTTCTCTCCTTCAAGTTCCGATACAAAAGCTTGTTTATCTTTATTAAAGAATTTTAGAGAGTGAAGATAATGAAATTGCACATGCAATCATTCGGATGTAATCATTCCTTTACTTGCTTCCCTCTTTTAAGCAACATTGCCAACTATAATCATTATTTCTATGCCTTTTGGTTCTGTAACAGTCTGAGCTGTCAATAAAACTCATTTACCCTCTTTTTTTGACACTAGGGTGAAGTAGTACAAATATAAGATGCAGAAGCATGTGTAAAGGGAGAGTAAACAGTCCTGTCTTGCCTCTCCGCTTTGTCTTCCTCTGTAAGAGCTTAGGCTTGAGTTACCAAGGCGACTGACCAAACTCTCACCGGTGGCACATTTCCACTGAGCCCCTCCTCCCCGGGGACCCCCAGCTACAGATGAGCTGTGCCACTGTGATGCCTTAAGGCGTTGCCCATCTCATGATGGAGAATAAATAATCTCCTAACACAACAACCTTCCTGTCAGTGAGTGCCCTCTTGGTTTCATTTAGGGACTTTCAGCAGATTCTGAAATGCTAGAAGACAATTTATAACAGTAAAGGCAATCCACAGAAGTCATTAAGCCTGCCTGCTCCGGAATGTGTTCCATTTGCTTTTAGATTAGAGAAGTAAAGAAGTTAATTGAAAGGTGCCAGATTTGATTTTCCTACAAAATATGTTAACATGATAGGACTGGATATCTGCAAGTTTCTCAATTCTCACCAACACCACAGAGATCGAAACAACTCATTCTAAAATCACAGAGGGCATACTGGAAATTGTTCCCTTAGCTTTCTTTAGAAATACAATTAAAAAGGAAAAAAATTGCTGTAAATGTTCTTTAAGTGTCAAGGATAGCATACATTTGTTGCATAATTTAAGAGATTGTATACCAGCTTAAAACGTTTTTGATAACCAGAAATTGTAACATTCATTTTGTTTTTATTCCTTGGAAACCTTTAAATCAGAGGAGAATCATTTTCCAGACAAAAACAAAGGAACATGACACTTGCTTTAAAATGAAGCATTAAAAGAAATTGCAAGCAGTTTTCTTTTTTTGTGAGACAGGGTTTCACGATGCAGACCAGGCTGGCCTTAAATCCACAAGCTGGCCTTGAACTCAGAGTGGTCTGAGGGCTGGGATTACAGCTGTGTGCCACCACACCTGGCATAAATATGTATTTTGCAATGGAAAGTTAGTCATTGTCTCCAGAAGTGATCTCTCTATATGTTTAAAAGATGATTTCTGCAAGGAAAGGTGTAGAGGAGAAGTGTGGCTACCCCGTCACACTGCCGCCACCCTTAGCTCAGGTCTGTAGGCAGCTTAATGACTCTCAAGACAACTCGAGCACCTCACTGCCCAAGCATAGCGTCTGGTCTGGCAGTCTGAGCCGGATCTGAGAATTCGGAAGAAAGGCAGAACTTTAGGCCTAAAATATGCTTAATAGCAACAGTCTTGGGTAGATACCATAATATTGCAAAAACACTGTCACAAACACAGTGATGGACTTAATTAATCACTCCGGTTTTAATTTATTAAAAGCAAAATAAATGCAAGAGCATGTCAGAGGACTCTTAGTAGAAAAGACAGAAAACATAATAATCCCTTTTGTCCCTGGGAGATAGTCTAAAATTCCATTTTACATGTAAATTACATTTTTTGTGTGGAGCACTGCAACGATTGTATATGGCAAAATAGCTTGTGAAAAAATGTGTATTTCGATGAGAAGCACAAATTTTCTAGCAGAAACTTAAAGACTTTATTGTACTCAGAGCAGCCCACTTCCATAAGGTAAGTAAGAACATTTAGTCTTCAGAAGAGCTGAAAAAGTAACACTAAAAGAACAAAATACATTTTGGGGTACAGAAGTCCCCAGGAACCTTTGAAGTCTGACAGGAGCACGAACAAGGAACAGTCTCCTGGGTGAGGAGGGAAAGTAACTGCACCAGGAGATGTAAGTTCTTAGGTAAAAAGAATAGATGCTTTTATGTCTTGGTTTCCTCATCTGAAAACAGAATAAGTACTGGTGAGAAGATTAAGAAGCTCATAGAGTGCGTTAATGTGGCATAAATGTGTCAGGTATAGACTACCTCTCTTCAAGTAACTGTCAGCAAATAATCTATCTGCCAAGCTCTGCGCACCTTTGCCTAGCACAGGCACTGTGGAGCTGTGGTAGGTAGCCAGCATCTTCGACACTGCCATGTAGGGGTCCCACAGGGAGAAAAAAGCGCCCCACAGCAGAGAAACGCTGATGAACCTCATCTTAGAGTGCCTTGGCAGGTTGGCATTTTTACTATTATATTTCTCCAGGAAATTAAAGCTAAGTTTCTGATGAACATGACCTGAAAACATCTTCCTGGAAAGGAACAGCAATAAAAGCCTTTCAGTCATTTATCCAACCAGCCTTTGTGGGGCACTAGGATGTGGACACAGCTGCATATTGTGCGGATGCAATGTTCTTAGCCCCCAAATGCTTAAAACTTTTGTGAGGAGAGAAACGAAGAAGTAGTAGGCGATTAGGGTGTGTCAAGGAGCCAATTCAAGGAGTTCTGCATATGGATCCAAGCTGCTTCAATTTGAATCAAGAGATGAAACTCAAAAGACAGGTGAAATGAAATAGTCATTCCTCAGCAGAAGTACAAATGGCTAATAAATATGTGAAAAAGTGTCCAAACTCTCTGGATATCAAATTAAAACAACACTGTGATGTTTTTTCATTTGAGGAACAATGATGATCAACAGCAAACCGAGAGGGCTGAGGTTGGGGGAACCTTTCTTGGTCAGAATGTAAACTGGTGCAAGCACTTTGGAAAGAAGCATGGAGAATCTTTGAGAAACTACAGCTAGAACTTCAATTTGATTTAACTATTCTGATCACAGGTATCTTCCCCAAAGAGTTAAAGACATCATATTGAATGATAGATTTATAGCAGCACAATTCATAATAACTCAATCTTGCAAGTAGCTTGTATTCATCCATAGATGAATGGATAAAAAATTATGGTATTTACACACAATGGAATACTACTCTTCATAAAGAAGGATAAGCTTTAGCCATTTGTAGGGAAATGAACATTATTATTTTAAAATAATAATGTTAAGTGAAATAAATCAGACACATTTGCTTGAGCACTATTGGTTTCTGTTATATGAGAATCTCCACATATAAAAAGCAAAATGAAAGAAGAAGCATAATAAGAAGGAGGGAGATAAATTTTGTTTAAATGAGAAGGAGATGGGAGAGAAAGGAAGGGTGAAGGGAAGGAAAAAATAATTTTCAAAAAGCATTAAGATGTTTTATGTATATTCACCAACTTCCTGCAAAGAATATATAGTCATTATGTAACCCAAACATGAATTAGTAAAACATAAAAACTAAAAACAAAGAAATAAAGAGATGAAATTCGGTCAGAGAGAAACAAAATTTCAATCACAGGATACTTTATCTCTCAAATGAAGTTGAGTATTTCACTTGTCTTGGAATATTTTGCTTCTAGAACATAATGGTTCCAGGCTTCATAATCACTAAGTACTGCATGTAGAAGTCATTAAATTTGGGGATAAGAATTTTTTTTTTTTTTTGTATTTTAGAGAGGAGTCTACAGCATGCTCAGGGTCTCACTACTAGATCGGACTCGTAGTGATGCACCTGTTTACAGCCTCCCAAGAGCGAGGATTACAGGTGCGCGCCACCACACCCAGTCTCAATTGCCATCTCAGCACACCCTGGGGGTGGGGCTGGCCTGGGGATTGAACCCCCAGCCCCTGCACCTGCTTGCAGGCGCTTCACTCCACTGAGTTATTTGGCCAGCCCAAGAATTATTTTATAAGATGACTTGGAAATATGGAGAGCAAATATTTGTTGTTCTTTTTTCTCCTTGTTTGAACATTTCATTGAGTATTTTTCCTGTCTGGAGACTAGAAAATATGCAGAATGACAAACAGAAGTTGCAAGGTAAAACCAGACATTTTCTTTGAAAGTAGGTAAGAATTTCAAAAGCCTTAATGTAAAAATGTTCTGTGAGGACAAGCAGAAACTGGTCTGCTAGTGTATTAAAGATGATGGTAACAGCAGCAACTAGTGCAAGTCATTTTACGTTAATTTAACTCTTTTTTGTGGAAACAGATTCAAACTACATAAATCAAGGAATAGCTTTCTGCAAAGTATTTCTCTCCTAGCACTGCCTAACAAGGAGCTGTTTCTTAATTAAATCCAGAAGTCTAGTATTCCAGGAGCATTAAATAAACCCAGACTATAAAAATAATAGTACAGAAAATAAGGATTGTCAATAAGCATCACCAATCGTATAACATAACGATTCTAGGACAAACCTAATAAAATGTTAATGGGCTCAGCATTGGCAGGACAATGACAAGACAGCCTGGTGTATGAACTGGTACAAATGAGAAAGCTAAGCTGAACGCTGACAAAGAAAAGCCAGGTCCCTTCTTGGATTTGCCTAGACAAGTTTCCAGGGCCTGGTCCAACTTAAATTTCTGGAGTGAAACAAGTTAGTGTTGAAAATTAGACCCCTGCAGGTGTAGAATCCATCCAACTCACTGCGTCACAAATGTCTCTTATAATCTGGAAACATGAAAACAATTTATAGATCTTCTGCACTTTTCTACATTCCTGAGGACAGGTTATAAATACTATTCGTATGACAATCAGAGTTTTATATTTTGCTCACCAAGATGTGGGGATTAGGAAAGGAATTTGGAGACACCAAACAATAGTCACTCCCAACTTGAAACCATTTTTCCATATCATTCAACTGGACCAGGCCTATTCAAGTTTCTCATTAGACAAATATTTTTTTTTCTTTTCTAAAGCAAAGAAAGTGAAAGAAGAAAAGTGGGAGAGGAGTGAAGGAGAGATGGAAAGAAAGGAAATACTTTATTTAAACTGTTGACAATTTCCTGGCTCCAGTCAGTCTAGAATTCAAAACATTAAGATCAAACCTAAAACTCTGTGCTAACAAAGCACAAAACACTATATCACATTTGAAGAATCATTCTCACATGTTCTCTGACTGGTTCAGATAGACACAAGTGTAGACCAAATGACCACTGCTATAAATTCCAATGGGTACACTGGAAGGGCACATTCACTATGACAACACACCTCTCTCCACCCACTAGAGAACTCCCTTGGACTGTCCCATGTAGCACTAGGTCTGGGACTGCAAAAATCCTGTAGCATTTTCCCCTGTCAGCCCACACCCACATGTACATTGGGCCCCGAAGAGAAATCACCTGTTGTCTTCATGGCTGGAACATAATCCCAGGAAGCCACTGACTCAAGGAGCTCATCTGTCCTGAGCAAAAATTAGTAAGGCAGTTTTAGGCAGAAAACAGTTTGTTGAGAGAGTACTATTAAAAAGGTTCATAAAATGCTGTTCTCCCATAGTGCATATGTTTATACTTATCAATTCATTTCAAAGGGTAGTAGCTCAATTCATTCATAATACTTCTTTAATGGATAACAAAGATGTGGTATCTTTATAGGTGTTTTTTTTTTGTTTGTTTGTTTTTTCCGAAACGGGGATTGAACTCAGGCCCTTGCTCTTGCCAGACAGGTGCTTATTCTACGGAGCTATCTCCCCGGTCCCCAGATGTGGTATTTTTAGTACAATGGAATATGATTCAGCAATAAAGAAAGATAAACTTGAGGATTTTATAGTAATTGGATGCAACTAGAGAGCACACTCATAAGTGAAATAAAACAGACTCACATGTGTAAATATTGTATTGTCCGCCCAGTATAAGAAACTGAAAGAGTAAATAAGATATGAAAGGTATAATAGACACTGTGACAGGGAAAGAAACTGCTCAAAAGGAAAGAGCCACTGGGCTCGGAGAAAGGAGAAAAGAAGGAAGGGAAAGAAACTATATAGATATATACACACAAGATAGCTAAGATAATTATACGACTAATTCCTAATTATACCACTAGTTCTTTGAAAGGAACAGTTAGGGATTATATCATTGGATCATAATTTTAATCAGTTTGCTTAAATGAACATCAAATATATTTCTTTTTTTTTTTTTTTTT